ATTAAATTAACAGCTTTACAGACACATCCCTACCCAGTCAAGCATTGAACAAAAGGCTGGTTTCAGGCGTTTTCTGAAACAGGAAGAAAGGCCCAAGTGAACTTCCAGGGCCTTTTTTTAATAAACTCCGCCCCTTGTCTGGACCTAAAGGTAATCGTCCCATCACCATCCACCCTACATCAATATGAAAATATTGATTAGAACAGCTTTAAATATTGGACTTTAATTTGTGCTCAATTGTTTTACATAACAATAGTAGTGCTTTTACTTATGCTGTTGCTGGGATATCGTCATAATATCTCCATAGGGTCTCTGTATTTGTAGTTAAATTGTACTTTTTGTACTAATTGTACTCCTACTATTATATATTTGCAATATTTAAAGGCTTATTATTTTCTTCTGCTAATGGAAGGAAAACCTTTCAATCTGCCCATCTGTCTTTGGTGAATAGCAAAGTCTCTCCACAGTTATTCTGGCCAAGTTACCATGGAATTTGACAAATAGTACCCATTACTCCCTATGGAAAACTGCTGAATACTTTAGCTGTCCAACTTTTCATCAGGTCCAAAATTTCAAATCTTGAATGTTGTTTTTCAAAGCATCATATTTTTAGGTTAGAAAAGGATTTTTTTTTAATACGCACTCAAACAAATGACTGTTACTAATGTTACTTATAGACCTGCTTAGAAAACAAAAACCCACATCAGGGAGGATATTTCTGCACATTTACATTTGTGATCCAAATGTAAATGTGACATTTGGAATCCCCTTTACAGATATGTGCTGGCAGGGTGATTCTATTTTGGAAATGTGATAAATCTTAAATCCTAGCAGTGTTGGTTCCCCTGCATTTATCAGTCACCCTTCAACTCTGTTTGTTTCCTCTGTGGTTGTTAGGTTACGCTGCACAGCACAGCTCTTTACGGAGAATGTTAAGTGATGCTCTGCAGCTCTCAAGAGAACTGCCCTGTAAATTCTTGGCATTGAGATACAAGAGCTGACACTGGATGACCTCCTGTGAGGAGTTAAGAATTAAAAAACATTAAAAGTTATATACAGCTGTTTTTCTTTTTGAGACCAAAGGTTAAAGTCTGCACTAACTCCAGTTGTGAGTCAAGATGCAAAGAACAATATTTTACACTTCCAAATATTAAGTAAGAAAGAGCCATAAAAGCTGCAACGAGACAAAACAGATTCATCACAAAAATTGGAACATGTGAGCAGTGGGAATACTGGTAGCTTGGAAAAAAGAAAATAATAATAATAAATTGAAATGGAAATACACTTAGAGAAATCATAAAATACTGTACCAGCAAGCATGTGAATTAAATTTCCACTGAGTTTCCCACTGGTAAGATGAAGACAGCAAATCTGAGTGAAGTGATAAAGAAACTAACTTTTCTCAAATTAATAGATGAAAGAAACCAAAATGTTACATTTCATCTTATATTCCACATCTTTGTCATTTATTTAAGGTTCGACCGGCTTTGTCTTGTCGTTCACTCTTCTTCTGCCCTGATTTATGGCTGGAGAATCAGCAGCAGAAAATTGACCTAGCACACATTTCCTTTTTCTAAACCTATCTGAGGAGGAAGTCACTCAGGATGTTGACCCCTAGGCTAAACAAGGGACACAGCCCAAGATATTCTTGCCTGCGCCAGAGACAGATCAAGCTTCCGTACACACTGAGCTCAGCCTTACATCCTTACACAACTAACACAAGTATTATCTAAATATGAACTACATACTGTTCTATTACATATTACCTCTGGAATCTGGTTTATTGCTAACCACTACAGATAACTGGCTCCTCACAGCAAGAACTTTTCAATTTGGGTTCTTTCTGTTTGCATATTCCCTCCAAATGAATGTGATTGCTCCTCCAGGTCGACTGCAGAGCCCATACACTCCAGGATATTCTCTTCACCAAGGAGGATGACGACGTCACTGAGCAGCGATGTTTTGAAGAGGGGCTTTCCTTTAAGTCGCTCAGACCTAAACATCATGCTCTAAGTTCTTCAGATAAACATGCATAAACAGATTCAGGAAAGGTGGAAAGTGTGGAATTTTTTTTCCACAATTAGTGCATTTGGTCTTCAGCCATCTTGGGCCGGGGAATGCACTCATCTTAAAATACAGAGCTCCACAGTGTGTCTGTCTGGATCACAGAGCTCATGTATCTCTGCAGCAGAATTGTTATGGTTTAGTCCCCCTCACCAGGAGGGTGAGGGAGAACTGAGGTAGGACTCAAGAATGCAGACCCAGGTGCTAGTACAAAA